TTAGAAGAAGTATAAAAACAACGATGATATTAACAAAGTGGAGGTCAGTGCCAATAATGAAGGACAGCTATTTGTATCTCCAAATGGGAAGACCTGTTAAAATACAGGGGATGGACAGATTCTGCAGATATTACTGAACTTGCCTACAGAATATGATTTGGTCATTTCAGCCCATGCACATTATTTAAATTAGTATAAATCCTCTGACAATGACAGGTTAATAAATAGCATAGGCAAAATAAATTGCAGTGAACATCACGCACTTCCAGATGTGACTTAAATAAAATAATACCTGATTAGCTTCTTCCAGAATTGCAATCAGCTCCTTGGCTTGAGCCCAGTCTTCTCTTGTTATCAAACTGATAGATTCACCTGTTTTTCCAGCTCTTCCTGTTCGGCCTACACGATGCACATACTCTTCAATGTTGCGTGGAAAGTCATAATTAAATATATGACTGAAATAAAAGTACAAAAATTTACTTGTAGAGATAAAATACTATATTTGTCAAAAATCTGATGGCCATGAGAATACTGGCTAACATGCAGTCTATTGACACTTTTTCTTCATTAGTATATGAGGAATTAGATACTTACGTGACATCTTCAATGTCAATTCCTCGTGAGGCAACATCAGTGGCAATCAAAATGCGCACTTCCCCAGTCTTGAGGTCCTCCAAGGCTTGTTCCCGATCATACTGCTCCCTATTCCCATGAATACTTTGGCATTTAATTCCTTCTAGACTTAACTCAGATGAAATGTCATCAGCTCGCGTCTTCTTGCCAACAAAGACTATAACTTTGTCATCAGGTTCCATATTATCAATGAATTCTCTCAGCTATAAAACAGTATTTCCAAAATTATGTAATTATTATAAAGCATAGAGAGATCTAAAATGATGGAAGGATTATGTTTCTTAATATCCATTCTCAGTCTCAAAATGCCTACTGGAAAGAACAATGGCAATTATTCAGTACAAAACACAATAAGCAATAATAAATGTGGTTCACCCAGATGATGCAGCCAGCAAGTACCTTTGTAATACTGGTAAACTTCTACCAGACTAAATACATGACACAATAACCCACAAAATAGCCAGCCATCTTCAGGGATGGAACTGTTTGAGAAATAAAAAAAAATATATATTACACGTTCTTTACGATGAAGATTCTTGCTCGATTGTATTCATGGTTAGTGTATACAAATTAATATTTCTGTCCTAAAAGTAACAAGAGGAAACTTCAAATGACTTCTGTATTGTGGCACCAACATGGAATGGTTTGTGTGAATTTAGTGTTCATAATGACTGCTCATTTTAGGCAGATAACACAGTAGTTGTGTGTGCTCATTCTGGAACAAGAAATCAAAGTAGTGTTTTGGACTTTGTCCATCTCAATACTTCAATAAAACTGCAATGTTTCAGAAGCTGGATCTTCTTCCATCTCCATGTAAAAATGGGGAAGGGCAAAAATCCTAGCTGTTGGGCCCCCTGGTTGAGCTAGCCTCAGACCTGAGATGTATTCATATGTACCACAACTGAAGCAGCTAAGTGCTGAGGGACAGTTCCCTATTTACCAAGGAAGAAGGCTGTCAAGACAATCAACATATTCCAAAAGTAATAATGTACATCATGTGCTTTTTCCACTACAGGCTTGCGCTTAACTCTCTTTTCAAGTACCCTCAATCTTGTTATTACCTCAGAGTGAGAGAAATGTTTGAAACTGTAAAAGTGGTCTTTTGGACTTTGCCCATCATCTGAATTTCAATACAGTTATAACATTTTGGAAGCCATATCTTCTTCCATCTTCAAGTAAAAAGGGGAAGGAAAAAGACGGAAAATCCAGTTTCTAAAACGCAATTTTATTCGAATACTGACTATGGGCAAGGTCCAAAATACCACTTTTACAGGTTATAACGCACCAGCATCAGAAACCTTCAGGCTGCACATTTGACACTCATGTAAAACAACAGATAAAATCACAGTCCTATATATTCTGATATATTCCATAAAGTTATTCTAATGTTTTGAGTTAACTTTACTATAGTACACTATGAAACTATTTCAATACACGTACCAATGCACTTTTATCTTCCTCTTTTATTAGCTCTATCCTCTGTGTAACACTATGAACTGCTGCCAAATCTAGAGTACCAATGAATACTTGGATGGGATTTTTCATATATGATTGGGCTAACCTCCGAACACCTTCAGGCCATGTTGCACTATAACATGATGCAATCATACTTTATTATCAAACAGATTTGCATGTATTAACAAACAGTTTAACACAAGTAGTCTCACTCATTTCAGATCATAATATGTGATCCAGGCATGAATGAAACAGATCAGTTTGTTATACATTTTGGAAATTCCAGAATATTCAGCCTTGAATTTTAATTCATCTTAATTACAGTACTGGCACTGGCATATTATTTAATTTGTTTTATTCAAAGAATAACTGGTGTCACATCTGTTCTCACACATTACGAGAACACCACAAGAAGTCTCTCAGCATCAAAGATATGTATCTTTGTTGGCAGGCACAAACGTTTGCATGAAAGGATCACCATCTGTCTGATGCTGAAAAAATATTCTTGCAGAACTTTTTCCTTTGTTTGTTAGACACCACACTGCATAATCATAAAAGTTTAGTTCAAAGACTTAAGTTGGTTCTTAGAACACAAAAGCAGCATATGTATAAAATATGGAAATAAAGAAGACATGAGACAACTACATCACATGATAGAGTCTAGTTTTAATGTCAAAATGTCACTGAAACTGTGGAAATTGTGCCAGATTCTTAGTATACAAAGGCATCACATAAAGAAGATCAAAGTTAAACAATTAAGCAATCGATAGGGTCACATGCTAACCGTAAGTACCAGAAACAGATATTATCATACCTGGTCATAACAGTTTGTCTATCTGGACGAATATCCAAGAGGATTTTCCGAATTTGAGGCTCAAATCCCATATCCAACATACGATCTGCTTCATCAAGGACCAAGTAAGTAACAGATTTAACATCAATTATACCTATAAAATAATAAACAATGAACAACTATCATCATCACCACCACCATGTGCATATATTGCACATACTGTGTATTTGGTTACATGATATTCTATTTTACCCATCTTAAACACAGATAAGTGATAAGAATATTAGAATATTAATTTAAAAATTGAAACACCTTTTTTTCAACACAACAAAATTTGCCCAAAGAATATATTGCAGTTCATAAAAATAAAACTATGCCATACAAACATATTTATTCACAAAAGGCTACAAAATTTTGCTAAATATTTTTCTCTGAAGCAGAGAAACATCTCAATTTTATCAGCTAAAAAAATATACACCAACACACAACAGGGAAAAAAATACAATGACTCCAACATCACTCATACAAAACTTATCAAATTCCTATTTTAAAAAAAGCCACTATACAAAAACATTTTAATCAGTTCCTTCCTAAAAGTCACGTGCATTCACAATAATATTAACGGTTTGTTGAGTTCTGTCACTGACATTTTACTACACAAGCATGGGCAAAGCATAAACTGAACAAGTCATCTTTTCATTATAATTAATTTATGTTCAAAATAATTAGAACTGATTATTTAAGGAAACTCACCTGCCATTACTAAATCATTTAACCTTCCTGGAGTAGCAATGATAATCTCAATTCCCTCTGCAACAAGATTCACTTGTTCCCGTCTGTTTCCTCCTCCATATACACAAACACTATAAACAGGACACTTGTCTGTTAAATGAATTACATCTATATTGAGGTTGAGTGAAACTGGCAAAATAGTTTGAGCACTATTACTACCAGATATGGATAAAAAGAAACAACAAAGTGGTTTTCAAAAAGTTGTTATTGAAATGCACTTAAAAACTGGTCAACTAATACAAGTCCAATTGTATGAGCAAGCACAGACAAAAACATACTCGATGACCCTACTAAAGATGGAAATAGGTTATTTCGATGTAAGCCATATATCTACCTCGAAAACAGAAACACTATACAAGTGTGGGCTATAAAAAATATTCTAGATTTCAAAAACTATAAACAATTCTTAAAAAAATACCCTGCAAAATTATTTAATTTTGAATACAACCAAATACTTAAAAATTTATATATCTATATAAACATTCAAAATAATATTATGTTTACCACTCATGCATTAAGCATTTCAGACATATATGCCCACTGCCAAGTAAATTTACAAGCACAAAAACACAGATGAAAGAATAGTCTTAATAATCACCCATGAAAATATGTCATCTTCACCTAATCTTTATGTTGACATACAAAAATACATGAGCAATCAAGACAAATTCATTAAAAGAGAGCTGATAGTGTTCTACTAGAAGAATCATAACTTTCGGTAGTATCTGAAACTGACTATATAAACCATTAACAGAACATTCTCTCAACTCAGGGTTCACCTGGTTTAATTTCTATTTGTACTCTTCTTTCACAACCAATAAAACTTAAAAGCAATTACTAACCACTTAATATTCCTGTAACTATATTTTTTCACCTCCTTTTCAATTTGCAAAGCCAATTCTCTTGTAGGAGCCATCACCAGAACATTTGCTCCACCACGCTGCGACCTAGGAACTGGTTGTTTATCTATGTGGATAAGAGCTGGTAACAGGAAAGCAAGGGTTTTCCCTGCACAACAAAGCATTAATTAAACACAATGAATAGTTTATGTCTGAAATACAATTATAAATACACATGCACACTTTCAAAAGTAACTCTGCAGGCAACATGGAAAACAGTTAATCATATTTAATATAACATTTATAACCTCTTGTAAAATGTAAACTGACAATGAACTACAAGAAGGTTACTTATAAAATTAAAACAACAGATTTTAAGTACATTTAAAAAAACTGCTTAATTTTTAAGTACCATTACATGTTTTACCCTGTTTCCTGACACAAAAATAGGCCTACAGAATATCTGCATCAGACCCTCTGTTTGTAGCCTATAAATTCTTTCTGAATCACAACAAAAACGTTCACAACAGTGGATCTAAATTTCATGCTTTGAGGAGCATCATAATCTCAAATAACCTGCCACTGCTGTTACAGATACAAAACTGACAGCTTGTTGATGGTTCAAGCTCACAACGTATACATTATGCACTGGAATGTTTAAGTAATGCCATGTGAATTCCTTTGTATAAACACTGTACAGGTAAACCTTGATTTGCGCCGCTTAAATTTGCGCCAATTCAGAATAACACCGCTTTTGAAACCAGCAGGTCAAAAGTGGGAAAAAAATTTTTTACTATTATTTATAACGTTTTACAATGTTTCTCGTACTGATTCTTATACTAAATCGTAATTCTTACATCGCTGATTTTAAATAAAAATTATAAATACAGTCACCTTTGCACTCATTGCTAAGCAGTTGCGAGGTAATCTCCTAAAAATCTGCCAACATTGCGCAACAGTGAGAATTGGTCACTCTTCACGGTGAGTCATTTGCATTCAGCCTGATAAGGGAGTAAGGAAAAATGCGCTCAGTTCGCTTCTTGTTGACACATTGAATGTGCTGAAAACTGTGTGCTAAACGTGTTTGTGTTGTTGTTCGACCACTATTCTGCAGTAGCAACTGTTTTATATTTATAAATTGTAGAAGAGCCACCATGTCTGGTAAGAGAAGTGAATGTGTTGCTAAAAAGTTGCGTAGGTCCATTGTGTTAGAAGATAAGATGGACGTAATTCGTAGAATAGAAGGTGGTGATACCCGTCATAATGTGTGCAGAAGTATGAAGTTGCCTCCTTCCACTGTGACTACCATAATGAAAAATTTACATAAAATAAAACAGTCAATGCAACAGGCTACGAGAGAAAGTGCAACGCAAGTGAGTTATAGCAGAAGAAAACTTTTAGAAAGAATGTAGAAATTACTGTTGTTATGGGTGGATGACATGAATCGAAAAAACATTCCCTTGACTGAAATTGCTATCATAGATAAGGCGAAGTCAATTTTTGAGGAACTTAAGTCGTCAATGTTCCCATTGATTTACATTACAAAAAGAGTTTCAATTTACGCTGATTCCATTTACGCCGGTTCGTCCAAGAAAGCATCCCTGGCGTAAATCGAGGTTAACCTGAATGTTCTTTGGAAAACTGAGGTATACAGTATGGATCATATGATTATTTTGATCACTCTGAATAGTATCAGAGCATTTTAAGAATGAAAATAAACTTCTAGTACCACTGAAAACATTCACCACACACATCAATAAGCAACATCCTAACACAAGTACTTATAAAACAGTAATAATGTACCTTAAAAAAATATTACCTGTGCCAGTTTGTGCAATCCCAATAAGGTCATGACCTTTTAATAAAATTGGCCAAGCTTGACACTGTATAGGTGAAGGAACTTCAAAGTTCTGCTTATAAATTTCTTCTAAAATGTCTGGATAATGTGCAAAGCACTGCTCAAATGTCCGAACAGGATTAGGTATTGCATTTTCACCTTCTTCAAACACATAAGTCACAACAATGTTATTCTTTTCCTTCCTGTACCAACAAATAAAAAGTTACAGAAGCAAAAGTCAGAGAAACTATTTTACTACAAGAGTTATATAATAATTAAATACAGACAAGTGACTGGATGTAGTTACATTCCATTTCTGCATATAGAAATAAAAACATAGTAATTTAACAAAAATACATTCTATCTACACATACAGGAGTGTCAAGATGAATACATTCTGTACCATTACTTTAGATGACTCAAGTTTATAAAATGGAAGTACTATCTAGAGTAGTTCCAGAACTGTGGTTTGTAAACTCTTCTGGGGTAACAAACCATTTCAGGGTATAATGGTAAATATTTGTATTATCTAGCAACAAATTTACAAAAAAAAAGTTTGGTCTATTCTGATTTGTTTTATTTTTTGTGGGGTGGAGGGAGGGGGAGGGGAAGACTTGCAGTTATAATTTATTTTACAAGGGATTTTTTTTATTTATTTAACAGTGCTGATAATAGCTTAGATTATATATCACTGAATAATAGAGTAATCAGTGAATAATGAATTGGAAAGGATGTGGATGCAATTCATGGTATAATTTTAGGTACTATCCCAGCATTTGCTTGGATGAACTGAGGAAGACCATAATACACATCAATCAGAATATCTGGTCTCTAGGCACACATTTCAACCAGGGACCACCCAATATGGACTACTAACAGCTTAAAAAGAAAATGTTTCATAAAACATTGTACACAAGTTTACACATGAATGGGAAAGGTGCGGGTTAAATATGCATGGTGAGAGAAGAAAACAGGAAAAGGCACAAAGACACCCTTCCGATGATGGAGGTTCAGGTATTTTTATTTTTCAAGAAAAAATTTGTAACATTGTTAAGTTTGGAAGATACTAATGCAGAGAAAAATTTAGAAAGTTCCTGCACCTTTTATGATGTACAGGGCATTGTTCTGTTATACCTACAATGTGTTAAATCATCAACAATCATAAATCAGGTTTAGTTTCAGTTTCTGTAAAGCAAAGCAAATAATAATTGTTCACTTTGTAAATTAATTTACCGGAGTTTCTGGACCTCCTCTGGCAACATACTGGCAACATGTGGATCTTCAATATAAAAATCCTTAAGTAATGGAGGACATTTATTCCATCGTTCTTTCTGGGCTTCATCCTATAACATTACAATAATCGATTATACCCTGATGAAATATGTATGATAACATCACAGCTTTCAATTCAAACCTCAGTAAATAACAATGACTTCAAAACACTGCTATCTAGCCTTACACAAAAGCTATAGAGATATTTACTTCTTACACATAACACAATCTGATTAACGAAATCTAGTTCTATACACATGTTATAGAGAAAATAAAACAGTCTGAACAATTTTACAGCAAAGGCAATTTTATTGGGTGCAAAACAGTGATTCAGTTTCTCTCCTTTCCCCTTTACTCATTCTACCAAAAGCCTGACATCAAAATATAAAGACTGAAACAAATGTGCACCTAAGCTGGCCAAGTGGTGGCTTATATTCAGGATGCACCAACTTCAAATCTTAACATAAGAATAATGGCAGCTGTTAACAAAGGGTATCTCGCAGAGAACTATTTAAGAAATTTAACACACTCCCCTTTGCAAGTGAATTCCTACTCCCATTATTGTTTTATATTGTGTAAATCATGGAGAAATTTCAAACAAACTCTTACATACATGGCAAAAATACAAGGCATAAGCATGATCTCCAGCAGCTGAGCACTAACCTCACTAGTGTCAGAAGAGTACTTACTACACAAGGATAAAATAATTCATTAACCTTCCAGATAGCATTAAAAGTTTAAAACATAATAAAAAATTATTTAATCATCATTAAAAATTATATTTTATCTCAATCCTACTCTAAAGAAGAATTTACATCAACTGAAGATTATTAAATACTGCAAATATTTATGTAAACAGCTGTTTACTTTCCTCATCTTCCTTCTGAATTCATCCCCTTGGATGCTAAATAACTGCTTCAATTGAGTTCCATTAAATAACCTATAGACCATAAACAAACATGTCCTCCCATTAAAAATGGTTGCAAAACTGATCATAAGAATTCCTATAGAAACTGTAAGCCCAGTGACAAAAGGCTCAATTACTATTAGTTTCACATTCCCATTAAGTTTGTTATTAACTGATTCATAGGTCATTTAATTTTTATAACCCAGTGATAACTATATGTACCACTTGCTTTAGCAATCAATGGATTTTGCCCACATAGTGTATTTGTGCATTCCATATAATTCTCATAGCAACAGCATTTCCATAAACAGCATTAAGCAATAAACCTTTGTAACAGAGATGGGTTGTGTTTTCTTTGTGAAAGAAACTAAAATGAAAGACTATTTAGATGAGCTTCATCTACAAATGGTTAATGGGACTGTGGTAGATGATGGATAAAGCAGCTATGGATTACTGAAAGGTACTACATAGAATCTCCCTTGAAACACTATGGAAAGCCATGAAAAGTCTATACAGCTAATGAACAGCTGAGAGCAAACCAGGCTTCTCCAAAATACAAGTACCTTGGATTAAAAATAACAAGTACAAATGAATACACTTACATGTTTTTCATTCAAAATACTTCTCAGCACAATATAAACTATTATATTTTATATTTCTCATCCCCTAGCATTATTTTCTACTTACATAGATTCTGTTAACCTCAGCCCAATTTATAACTGGTGGCTTCTTTGGTTCAGACTCGGAAACAGCTGTCCCATAGACACCATTTCCAGATCCACTAATATTGCCAGAGCTTCCATTACTCCTTGAATTGAAGTTATTCAAAAAATCTTCAATCAGCTGCTTTGCCTTAGCAACTGATTCACCAGATCCAGATACAATCACTGATGTTGTTTGGCCAAAATCTTCGTCGCTTGGCTTTCCAATCTGAAACACTATTCTGTAAAGAAAATGCTGCTACTACTACTACTACTACTACTACTATTACATCACAGGCATTCCTTACTTTATAATCAAGGAAATTTCAACAATTTATCTAAAAAGAAACTTCCAAGTTAACAGGTGAGGACACTGAATACCAAAGCCAGGCATTCCATCTATCAGAGACCAGCACACTTGCAACATAAAAAATAATAGAAACTACAGCATCACACATTAAAAGGGGTTACTTGAAGGTTCAGTTACATGACTATGAAATACCAAGTGCTCAGGGTTTTCTTCCATCCTCATATTTTCTGTCTTTCTCTCTTTATATTTATTGCATATAGTACTGTTTGGTTCCCTTAGTAATTAATATTGTCTGGTCTATGTTATCACAAACACCTATGTAGTTAAACTACCACATACAGAATACTAAAAATAACAATTCACTGAACTCTTCAAACATACTATGTTATAATTATGTTAAACGTAGCACAAAATCAGTGCAGAATTATCCAACTTCTTAGCCACCATATTCATACTACCTAACTGTTATAAACTGGAAGAATAACTAGAAAGTTTCCTAAATGAGGGTTTTATTATGGTCTTCCTCAGTCAATTCTGGAAAATTCTAATATTATTTACAAATAGGGCACAACAGCAATCAATTCAAGTTCACCAAATCAATCATCTACTCACATTATATAATGCTAAATAACTGGCTACAGCTGATAGTGTCATTAAATAACCCACCATCCATGCACCTACAACATATTTTCACCATTATATATTATATCTACATGTTGAAATTTATGAAGTTTCATAGTGCCAAATTTATACTTAAAGTATTTCTAACTAACTGATATAAAAATGTAATACAAGATTTGTAAATTTATCAACTATATCACATTTCTGTTCTAATATCATCTAATAAAATGCTAGTTACTATCTACTTCTGAAACTGCTACTAAAATGTTTTGTTACAGCTTTCAAGAACATAAAATAATTTAACTTAATGGCATAAACAGCATGTACCTGAATATGTGCACCACTTTCACCCTGCAGCTCTCGTATTTTTGATCCACCTTTTCCTATGACCTTCCCAACATCACTTGACTTTATCATAACTTTGGTTCCATCACCTGATCCTCCCCCATAGCCACTAGGACCACCAGAAGAATTTTCTCGCCAACTCCCACCACCTCGATGTCTTCCTCTATTGTGATCAAACCTTCCACTTCCTTGTTCATTCTCTTTTTCTTCAGCTGGATTATTACTTCTGTAATTATTCCTCCCACCACCTTGCCAGTTTCCATAATCACATCCTGTGCCACCACCTCTCCGGCTACCTCCACGGCTAAAGGTTTGGGAATATACTGGAGTGTGTTGTATGTGGCTTTCACCATCAGACTCCCAACCATCATTCATGACGCCTGCAAAAAGTATACAAATTATGATTTCAAATCTAAAAACTCTCAATGACAGCTCTACATGAGATTTTCTTGCTAAGTGTGGATCAACAGACACAAATGTTACGTTCAACTCATCTATACATTATCCCAACAATGTCAGAACACCATCGAAAAAAATGTGTTTGATACTATTTATTATTTCTAACAAGGCGTTGTAGTCCGTTGATGTAATAAATTAAAAACAATAACACTAAGAACGATAAAGAAATGATAAAAAAATCAATAAAGAAACCCAACTTTTCTTTCCACATTAATTTCCAGAAATCGAACATACCACGATACAAGCCCAAACACCGAAACTGCACACCACAGTTTATTTTACGTCGGCAAACCTTATAGTTTATACAAACATGAACGACAATGTAAGCCAAAGATGGAAATGTACAATTAATGGAAAACAACTCACGTGAACTATAAATATACGCAGACTATGGAAGAAATAGCGAACTCAGTGAAGCTAACTCAACATATATCGACACAATCGAACAGTAATCTGTGCCATCAAGAAATATAATATACAACACACAAATAAAAGAAAGCGTTCATAAAACGAGTGAAATAAAAAATATATATCTATTATTGAATTCAAGTTCTAAAGTTTATTAATTCCAGATACAATTACGATACTTCCTAGGGAAAGCCGTAATGGAGAGTATTAATCACCAAGGTGAAATTAATGCGCGAATATCTTTGTCAAAAAAAGGAGAAGCGCTGTATAAATGCATAATCGAGTTCTCGTATGTCCATTTTGTTTTCAAAATTTGTATATTTCTAATAAAACATGTTATTATTATTATTAAGTGTTCTGTCTTACGACAGGTCCATTGCTCTGCCATGTACGTAGGATATATAGCAGACGCAACAAAATCTTAGTCTGCAAATCGATTACTATCAGGACTATTGTCTCAACTGACCTTTTGTTGTGTTCCAGAACATAACGTTCAGTTGCGATTATCTATTAGTTGTTTTGTGAGGTCTAACGTTTTCACGGTGACAAAGTATAGTACATTCTTCTCCTTAGGGTACCCTGAGGACGAGGATGGTTCTCGAAATGTTGGTGTTTGCTTCATTAAGCCACCTTACACGGGTGGTAGTTCCAAAATTTATTATATTATTTGTTTTGTTGTCTTCTTTGCATTTTCTTGTAGGGATCTACACAAGATTTTACTTGGTTCAGTGATCAGTGGCTGGATGAAGAAAGGAGAATTCATGCGTAGCAGTTGTGACGTTATGCATCTCAACTGTTTGTATAACTTGATTGTTAGTTAATTGCAACATTTGCGAAAATAAGTTGCAAAAAATTTATTTGTAGCTTCCTAAATAATCATAAAAATAAGTGCACAAAAGGAATTCAGTACTGTGACAATTATTTAAAGATTTATCAACATGATCAATTATGACTTCATGCGCAGGGAACAATTTTTATCTTCCATCTGGCGACAATCTACCCAACGCGATCAGAATTTGGAATACAGAATTTCGGAAGTTATGCATACAGTTGGTAACAATTAACTTATCTTTGTGAACGTATTCAATGCAAATAGTCATGACCAGTTTAAAACTGTGCCAGCAAAGATTTATACGCATGTCTGTCTTGTGGTGAGATGCATGCGTCACCTCTTGTTTTGTTTCAAACATGCCGACAGACAGTAGACGTTTGCAAGGACCAGAAAATACAACTGCTTATACGTTATATTTACCTAACAGTAAAAGTTATAATGACTTAGTAGGTGAAATAATTACAAGTGATGAAAAGAGGAAAGATGGGCGGAAATTATACGAGCAACGACGCATTTGTAAGCCATAACCTTGTCTCAAGTTTAGAACTGGTTTGTTTGTGAGGGTAATTTGAACGACTGCAATATGTCTCAAACCTTTTGTTACAGTTGTGAAAACCGGAGTTATAAGTCAGGCCAAAGGTTCAGCTTATTTAGAACAGAATAATACCAAAGTCGTGTGTTCTGTATTTGACCCACGTGAAATTCCACGTAAATCGGATTATAGTGTCAACGGAGAATTGTATTGTGAGTTCAAATTTGCTCCATTCTCCTGCATAAAGTGGAGAAGTCATCAGCCGGACACCCAGGAAAAGGAATGCAGTTTAATTTTACGTAGAGCATTAGAACCTGCTGTTTGTCGTGTAAGTTGTAGAATAGAATTCATATCCCGTAGATCCTTCATAGGACCATCACATATCTTAGCACAAATAAAATACTTGTTTCTAATACAAATATAAATTGAATAGTTACATCACCGACTATTTCTCCAGACGGTAAAATATTAGGCGTTCGGATAGATATATGGAAAGGAGTCTAATGATTAATGTTTTGGCACACCTGTAATTTATAGCCTATCTGAAGACACGGAATATCGATGAATCACATATACACATTAAGTGATTATTACTGAGAATTATTAAATGTGTACCTGATTTCAATTTAGGTGTTACTCCTCAGTTAGAATTAAGGTTTTTACTTGTTATAAATGTAATTCATCAGTCTAACCTGCCTAAATACATATAACCTATAAGGTGAGAACACTTTCATTTTATTTTGAGATGAATAAAATAGTTAAAAATTTTCTTAGTAATTTGTATAATAAATGCTACTATTTAACATTGTTTATATCATCAGAAAGACATCCAACAGGGCATTTAAGGAATAACAAGATCAGAATTGAATCTTATCAATCCATTACCCTTGCTTCCTTATAACCTTGCAGCAAGTTCTTGAGATATAGAAAATAACCTTTGAAACATATTCAGCTTGTGATTGTGCATTTTCAAAAGTAAGTAGTGTTGTATTGTTTATCACAGAAAAATGGAGAGGTTTTAGTGGGGAAGATTGGCAATAAGGTGTACCAGAATACTAATATACTTTTCTCTTTATAGCATGAGTTTCCCAATTTCCAAGTCGATGTGTATGCATTGGTTCTGGAAAATGATGGCTCAGCTCTTGCTGCTTCTATCACATGTGCTGGATTAGCATTAGCAGATGCCAGTGTTCCTATGTATGATCTTGTAGTAGCAGCAACCTTGGTATGTACATGATAAATATCAAGTTATTTATTGTAGGTAAAAGTAATGACACTCCCATCTTATGAGACTATGTGGCTATTGTGTTGGTATTCTTGTCAGAAAATACAGATATTTGGAGACACAAATATTATGATATTTTCCTCATGAACTATGGAAACTAAGCTAAATGGGACTTGCAGCAATATAATGTATTGATACAATACAATTCATGACTAGCTGATTTTTAATTAATAATTGATAATTAAGGTTATGATATAAATAAATATATTAAACTATCTTCAATTCTCATAATTGCAGGGGATTCATGGTGATAAAAAATTTATGGATCCATCAGTAGAGGAAGAATTCCTTTGTAACATACCACCACCTGATGGAAAGTCATGTAACCATGGTATAATCACTGCTGCCTTCTCACCAGCCCATCAGCAGCTGTCTGAATTTACACAGTCAGGAGCAATGGATATTGATTGTGTTACATCTTCTATACAGCTTCTGAGAGAAGCATGTGAAACTATATATCCTCTGTCACAGCATTGTATTCTTAAAAGTGTCACAAAGATGCTCAAGAAGAAGCAAACAGAAACAAAGTTAGATCTCAATAGTGATCGAATTGCATGTTAAGACAAGCAGAAAGGGAAAAAAACCTTCAAATTGCTTTTGGATACAATAAAGTTAATAATTGTAATTATCTGTTGTGAACTACTTTAATAGTCTTATGTTTCATGTTATACCTATATTAAGCATGCTAATTCAAGTGATATTGCTAATAGATGTGCCTCCAGAGTGCAAGAGGTAATCAGTTTAAGCTAATATAGGTAACATATAGTGCCCCCCCCCCAAAAAAAAAAAAACAGCAAGCTATGCCTTCTGACTGCATCTCTGTGTAGTGACCAACATCCTTTGTACATCACTTCAAACCTCCAGTACACCCTGTACTTAAATTATTATGTAAAGCATGTCTTCAATAATTTCCAACAATTAATCTGCTTCTTCTCAATTTGTATTTTAATGTCAGTATCACAGCCTTGTACTCACTGAGCCAATTTTCTGTTTGGTGATTGAAACAGCAAGTTTTAATGTTTTCTATGAAAAGATACCATTTGAACCTTAGATAAGTCTCCTTAAAAAAAAGAGGAACAGGTGTAAACTCAACCTATATGGTCCAATTTATCTCCTCCCCCACCTATCTTTACCTAAAACACCACTCCAGAACTTCCACAGGAAGGAATTACACTGCAGGAAACATCTGCATCTGTGTTGCCAATTTCATGTTAATATTTTCAATTGCAAAAGTGGCTGAATTTATCTAACAGCTTCTATATATAATGTAAATGTCATAACTATGTAATTTATATTTGTATTAGAAACAGTTTGTGCTATGACGAAAACAGAACCGGACGCCTAGCACTAAAGCTTCGCGTTGAAATCCTGACCCACAGATCGGCAATCACGACAGAGCTTTCCTGTGGGTTACCTTATTCCCTCCGACAGTAGTCCTCAGGAAAGGGCCGCCCGCGGTGCTCACTGGCTGTTGGCAAAAATAAATACAGTGTTTCGTCGGGAATCGAATCCCTGCTATCCAAATCGCAGTCACTTGCCTACAGAAGTTGTCACAGATTATGGAATTTTAAATTATGTGTCATGTTAATAATTTCAGCCCTTTGAAGCCGACGCTCGTCTAAATCAGTGGTATTCAACCTGGGGTACGCGAAGAGATCTTAGGTAGTGTGTGAAATTTAAAATATATGTATATTATTTTATGATAAACACTGAATAATCAGTAATGTAATTGATTTAATTTATTTTAGATGTAGATTATATACTATGTATAACTTGAATTATACACCAACAACTTTGGGGGTACGCGAACAAAAAAGGTTCAATACCACTGTTCTAAATAACATTTAAGAATCTAGATAGTACCGCGAAGAAAACACCACACTTCACCATTACAAAGATCAACTGGTTAACGCTGTTTAAGGAAATAATCGCTGCTTACAGCGACAATCATACGGAATAAATGGGTAAAACAGAGAGTTATTGTACGTCCATTGTCCTTTTAAGGGTTAACAAGAAATGATTTCTACTACAGTGTATGATTACTCAAGGATTCGCGCCTCCGCCATGTTTTATAATTTGTAACAGTGAAAGAGTGCATTTATTTATGATTTACTTAACGACTTTTTTCAGCAGCTCAGACTACACAGCGTCGAACGATAGGAGAACGAATAAACAGTGAATTGGAAATAACGCGTAGGGAAGTGGTCGTGGCCTAATTTAAGGCGCCATCCCGGAATTTTCGTGGAGAAACTAGGGAAAAGCAACAAAACTTTATAGGAAACTGGTCTAATTTCAAGGGTTCATTACAAGACAGAAAGAAAAAACGATCTGTTGTACCTTGCAGGCTTTTGATCGGCGAACGAAGGAGTACGGGCCTTTGTACAGGATCTGGGCAGGACCAATCGCACAGATCAGCCTTACAAGGCCGGAACACGTCGATGTAAGTGGACATAACGCCTCATCGACTGCCCTCAGATGAAGAATAATCGATTCTCAGATCATTTAACGACAGATGTTACATGCATACCGTAAAAATACGAAATTATGAATAGTTAAGAACTGGGGACAGCGGCTGAGCGTCCCAAAGAAAACCAATGAAAGAATTCGTCCGAGATTCAAATCGGATATCTCTCCATCAACCGTCTGGTTTTAACCAACAAAAGAATTCAATGAAATATATAACCATAAGATAACGGCTGTGTTCTGAAACGCTGCACCGTGAAATCTTGTAGATGCTGACCGACGTTTCGGGGGTGATTACTGCCTGCATCTTCAGGGCGAAGATCGGCCAGTATCTACAAGGCTGCACGGCGCAACATCTCAAAGACAGCCAACTTCACACTCTTAGACGTGAGAACCTGAGTCTCACACATCCGTACTTTTTAAGCACCTAATATGACTTCGGTGATTAAATACAAAAGAATGGGTTCTGCTAACTTATGAAAGCTGTAATGACGTCACAACCGCTCGCTCAGTAAGCTGGCGTCGAACTGGTCCACCCACTGGCTTCTTACATACATACATCTTTATTACATTCCATGGATCCATAAGTTAGTCAGATGACAATAGGATGTAGAATAAGTCATAATAATACAATACATGTTATACAAATACAAGTCATATAAATGTCACAAAAATACAAACAAAGGATAAATTACGACTTACTTGTA